TTATCATGCTACTTGACACAGTATTTGACACACTCTCAAGTGTGTATATCATAATCATTAACCAAGATCAGTCAATTATACAGTTCACAACCCTCAGTGTGCATCGAAAACTCAGATTTGGTGTCAGTTGGTTTGGAGTAGATCCCAATCACTGGTATATTTTTAAAGCTCCCAAATGATTCTAATGTGCACTCACTTGCCTAAAGACAAAGTTCAAACTCTTTTAGTTTGGGCCACTAAACACTCTGGTCACTGCTTACAACTCTACATTTAATCTCTCTTTCACAGGTACCACATGCTCTGAACACACAATGAACTAACGCTTCCTCAGAAAGTAGGCTATAGTAGTATCTCTCAAACATAAATTGCTGGTCTCTACCTCCAGAATTTCTGATTCAGTCAGACTGAGGTGAGGTTCTAAAACTTGCATTTCTAACAAGTTCCTGGGTAATGCTGACACTTCTGGTGCAGGGACCACAGTTTGAAAACCCATCGGCAACACTATATCACAACCTTGCACTTTGCATTCACCTGATGCCATTCCCATCTCCATCATCCCACTAGTGCCTAGCTTTCACTTTTCTTTAACTTACATAAGAATTCACTTTCAGGAAGTATTTCCTCACTTCAACATACTACCTCAAAGTATTTATTACCTACTATAAAACTTGAATACAAAAAAATACACTACAGAATTTTCTTATTGGAACACTAACACACAGGGTAGACATCCGCTAACATACAGACTCTTTTTAAGAATTAGGAAGAAAGGCCTATTTTGGGTAGGTGAATCAGAAAAATAAGAAAAAGCAAATGGACACTTAGTCAAGCAGACAAAATCTGGATTTCAGCCTCCACCAACTCTCTTGGCCAGGCACCTGTATGCAGAGCACCAATTCCACAATCAGTCATGGAAGCCCTGGCACAGCATGCCACTACAACACAAAGGAAGGGCACTTAGACCAACCCTGGATTGAGGAAGAGAGAAAGGGGCAATCAGGAAAGAATTTTTGGAGAATGTATCACTTGAGTTCTGAATCACAAATCACCTCCACTGTACATCAGAAAAACAAAATTGTGCTTTAATGTCTTTTACTCGCAGTGTATGGCTCATTGTAGATGTTCAATAAATGTCTGAATAATTCATAATGAATAAAATTAAATGGAAGCACTTGTTAATCTTTCTCACCAAATAAACACACACCCAAAGCTGGCACTAAAGACTATAAATACTATCTAAATATTAATGTAATTGGTCTCCACAGTTATCAGCTAGGGGAAAGTATGAATTATTCTTTTAACCAGTTGGGAGATGAGGGGCAAAAGGAGCTTGCTGATAACACACTTAGGTTTTTCAAACCTAAAGATTTTCAAATCAAACACTCTGCATTACCTCAGAGTCGATTTCCTAATTACTTCAAAGGGACTAAAAAATTTAAAGGAATCTTGGAAACAAGGTCCAAGACTAATTTTACAATGAAGAAACTGAGGCCCAGAAAAGTAATGACTCAAAGACACACAGGTAGATAGTGCTAGAGCTGTAATTAAAATTTGGGTTTCTGGCCCTACACTAGTTTTCTCTCTCCAACGCCATGCTGCCTTTACATTTATAAAGTTAAAAAATCCATAACTTGAGTTAACCAGAGTTTTGTTCATTGTACCCCATTTCTATGAGGGGGGAAAAATCAGTCATCTATGATCTTATTTTGTCTAGTAACTTACTCAAAGAGATAACTTTCAAGATATGTTTCTCTCTTGGTAAAGACTCATTCCTAGTCTCTGCGAAATTCTATGTGCAAAGCTAATAATAAAAAAATAACCCTGATAAAACCATCAAGTTTTCTCAACTACCAAGAAAACATTACACTGCCTTTCCAGGATGCAGTTAATTTCAAAAGAAAGAAAAAGAGCCTGACTTATAAAATATGTTTAAAAATAAGCATAAAACTCTGGCTGTAACCTTCATCTCTCAATTAATTAACCAAAGCATCTCATCCTCTGACCATTCTCATTAATAAAGTTTTAATCTGCTAGCTCTATGTGCTGATAATAACCAATTAATTAAAATTCTTTGCTTCTAGAAAGTAACTCCATCGCTTATTTAGATTATAATTTTATTCACCTTTTAAATTTAAGATCAATGCCCTGTGGATTGACGTACAATGTTCATGGTCTAATAGTTAAAAGCTACCTTTTTAATCTCTACCAGAATCCATAACAAGGCATGCTTTTATTTTTCCCATTTACAGATGACAAAACTGAGGTTTTAGGGAGGTTAAAGAATTTACCCAAATTTACATACTTAGAAAAAGATGAGTTAGAACTTAACACAGTGTTATGCAAGTGCCAGGAACTCTCTTACACAACAGACAACGGCTTTCTTAACCATTATCACGTGACTGCTTAATTCATCTGTGGAAGTATGAACTTTTTAATTATCCCTAGCAGTCCAAGGTACATAGTAAGGCATTTTCTTCCCCAAAGTTAATTTAGGCTCTAAATTAGAATACAGCTTAAGATATTCTTTAGTTTCATGTTATGCACTGTCATAAGCATTTCTATGCATTTGCTACTTCGTACTATCTATCAGAGAAAAAAGGAAGCCTACCTCTCAATGCTCTATATGAGAGGGACAATGATAACCTGAAATAATCAGGCATCTCCCTCAGAGAAAAGGGGAGGCACACTTAATACCGATTATCAAAATTCACATTTCCTAAGCCTGGATTCCACTCCTATAACTAAACCCACTGCATATGCAGTTATCACATCTTCAAAACTACCTGCGCAAACTGGGACTCAAGAGATCTCACACAAATGCTGATCACATGGCTACTGGTACTGCTAATAATGCATTGTTCTTCATCTCTGACCAAAGAGTTTCATGGCTACTACTAGCATCCATTAAACTGTGGCAGGTTAACTTGTTAGCCTGCAAGTGGGGTATAATCTCAGATCCTTTACAGTCCTTGACAGACATTAACACATAACCAATGTTTATTATAACTGAAAGAGAAATTCCAATTCCATATCGTCAGAAAGGATAAAAATGCAAAACTCAAATATATGCTGCCTTTCAAACCTTTCTTTACACATTAAATATAAAGAAAGAGTTTTAAGTCAATAGATGGAAAAAGATATAATATGGAAACATTAAGCTAAAGAAATTTGGAGTGGCTATGCTGATACTAGATAATGTAGACTTCAAGACAAAGACCAAAGGAGGACATTTCATAATGATAACAAGGTCAATTCACCAGGAAGGCATAACAATCATAAATTCTATGTGCCTAATAACAGAATTTCAAAATACATTAGGCAAAATCTGACAAAATTAAGGGACAAATAGATAATTCCACAGTCATAGTAATATATTTTAACATCTCTCAACAACGGATAGAACTAAACCACCCCCCCAAAAAGGAAAGACATAATTATTTGAAAAATGTTACCAAAACACCTTAATCTAATTGATATTTATGGAATACCCCACCCAACTGCAGAATACACATTCTTTTCAAGTGTAAAAGGTACATTTACTAAGATAGGCCATATGCTAGACTATAAAACAAGGTTCAATAAACATAAGAGGATTAAAATCATACAAAGAATATCCTCTGACCTCAAAATGAAATTTAGACATTAATAAGATATATAAAATAATCACAAATATTTGAAAATTAAACACTTTTAAGCAATCCATTGCCAATGAAGAAATCGCAAAGCAAATTAGAAACTATTTCAAACTGAATAATAAAAAACATAATATATCAAAATTCATGGAATACAGCAATGCTTAGAGGAAAATCTATATAGTCTGAATGCTTATATTGGAAAACAATAACTGCCTGAACTCTATGACCAAGGTTCCAGAAACTAGGTTTCTGGTTTTAAGAAGCCAGAAAAGGAGCAAAATACGTAGGAGAAATTGTAAAGAACAGAAATAAATGAGAAAAGAAAAAAAAGAATGGAGAAAAATGACAGTTATTATTTGAAAAGATATCAAAATTAATAAACCATAATTAGACTGGTCAAGAAAAAAGAACACATTAACAAAAACAGAAATTAAAAATGAGATATCACTACAGATCCTACAGACATTAGGAGGCTAACAAGAGAATCTCATAAACAACTTACATCAACAAACAAGATTAAAGTTTCTTTAATATAATTTACCAAAACTGACTTAAGATGAAACAAAATCTGAATAGCCCTAAAAAAAAAAAACTGAATTTGCATTTGTTACCAAAAACCTTCCCACAAACAAAATTCCAAGTCCAGATGGTATCACTGGTGAATTCTAGGAAATAGTCAAGAAAGAATTAATATCAATATTACACAAACAGCAAGAACACCTCTCGACTTAGTTTATGAGGCATCGTATTCCTAATACTGAAAACTGACAGTACGACCAAAGAGAATTTGTCAGGGATTTGGGGATATTTATGAGGGATATTTTTGAGGGATATTTATAAATATCCCTCATAAATATCCCCAAATCCCTGACAAATTATTAAATATAAAAAGAATAACACACTGTAACCTAAGTGAGGTTATCCTAGGAATCAACATTAACTTTCAAAAACAACATTTATTTATCCATTCTACTACTAAAAGACACTTTGTTTCTAAATATTGGCTACTGCAAACAAGGCTACAGGGAATGTTTTTGTTCACATTATCCTGGTATACGAGTATAAAAATTTCTCTCATCAGGAATGTAGGCAGAAGTATAAGTACTAGGCTTAAGGTTCCTATACTTCAACTTACCAGATAAAACAAATTCTTTTGCAAAATGACTGTCAATTTGCACTCTCCACATTCTCACCGAAACTTGATTTTCAGAATTTTTAATATCTGCAAATCTGATGAAAGTGAAACGGTTTCTTCTTATGGTTTTACTCTGTACTCTCCTGATCACCGAGATAATTCAGCACTTTTCCAACTGTAGGTTGCTGAGTCATATCACTTAGGTGAGTTGCTACCAGCATTCTTCATTAAAAAAACAAAAGAAAATATCAGAGTGCACTACATAAAAGTTCAATGTTATTTCATGAAACTTTTATTTCCATTGTGTTTATAATCAGTAACAATGTAAATGTTTTTATAATTGTGAGCTTCCAGCAAGTTAAAAGCCACTACTACAGCTAATTACAAGAAAACTCCTTAAAAGACATTTAGGCAACTGGTTTATCATTTCAGCCCTTAGCACAAAGCAATGTATTTCACAAAGAAGGCAGAACTTGAAATGTCCTTCAAGCACAAACTGGCAAAAAGAGAGGATTAGAAGAGGAGAGAGGCATTAAGAGGTGTATTAAATGGAGGTGTATTACAAAGATTCTATAAAACCAACTTGTCTATGACTTACTTAAAGCTCACTTAAAAAGAATCACATTTCTCAGTAAGACATGGTTTCTCTCAGTATTAAAAGATAGGAAGCTGGGATCCTAACCTCTTAACTACCAAAATGACAAAAAACTGATCCCTCCTTCTCTGTAGACTCAACCCTAACTCTTACTTTAATTATCTTATTCTGGAGCTTATGCAAGACTATTTTTAGATATATCCTTCCTACTTTTCCCTAGACAGTAACACAGTAGCCAAGAACCATCTAAATTCTAAAGATTTATATTTTTATATTCAGATAACAAAGATTAACCAAGCCCCTGCTATACCACTTCTGTATTAAGAAATTAAGCTGTATCTAACAATTTTAACTCCTAGTTATATTCTTTAAAGCTTGATATCCTTAACTAAAACTGTCCTAATTTCCTCCTCTTGAAAATATTTTGCTTCTTGGACTTGTGGATGAAAAGGGGGCTCCAAAATAACCTAACCAAAAGTAACCTCACAGGGTGATCTGATCATAAATTCCTAACTGGGCAGATCTTGGTGGGTAGTCACACCTCAAGCCTCTAACTTCCCTAGTTATAACTTCAAGCCCTGTCCATTATTTTTGTGTATAAGTTAATACACCTTTGAAATGCCTCTTTTTCAGACCTGTGGGAAGCTAACCATCCTCCAGAGAGCACATAATCTTGTTAATTATCCTGTAAACCAATCTCCACCTTGGCCTTCCTTTCTCCCACCTTCCTTACTTCCCTCTTAATTCTAAATGTGTAAAAGAAACCGCACAACTGTCATTCTCCAGAGCATGTGAGATCTTGCTTCCTCCCAGTGTTGTCAGTTTGACTCAAATAAACTCATAAAAATTCTCTACAGGTTTGGACATTTCTTATATCAACAGACTATTAAACCATCCCACATACTAAGACCAAACTCTGCTATCTTCTTTGTTCCACCAATAATATCCCTGCTCTGCTATGTTCACATAACTATTCTTTTCCATAAAAATTTCCTCCTCACAAGCTGCTGGACTAATCACACCACAGTATCTGGTGTAATGATTGTTTGAATCTGTCACTTAATAGGAGTGTGATTTTAAGCACTTAAAATTCCTTAACTTCTCTGAGATTCAATCTCATTTCTAAAATGGGTAAAACAATGGGTACCAAAGACTTGCATAATCTCTTCCATTGCTCTTTTTACTTAAAACTTTTTCATTTTATTTTTAGTTATTTTTAATTTCCTTTAAACGCAATAAAATGCTTTTATGGAGAGAGGCACTTACATTGAGGTAGCAAGAAATATGGGAAAGGAAAAAGTGTGAAGAAAAACAAAATAAGTACAAGTAAACTTATCGAGTGGTATTACTGCTCTGCCTATGTGCTCTCCTTGTATGTCCAAATTCTAAAAAGGCAAATGTAATACTTTTCCCCATGGCAGACAAAATTCTTAGAACCCTCAATGACTCCCATCCCTGTATTATTCCCTCCCCTTGAGTGTGGGTGAGTTCTGTAGATATAATGGGATATGTAACTCTTGGAACTGTTAAATAGCAAACAGATTTTTGCATATGTATTTAAAGTCCTTAATCAGTTGAGTTTACCAAAAAGGGAGATTATCTTGGGCTGTCTGACCTAATCAAATGAGCTTTTAAAAGGGGTTTTAAAGGGGAGTCTAGAGGTCAGAGATAGAGGAAGTCAGAGACTGGTCCAGCTAGCCTGGATGAAAGCAAACAGCCATGTTGTGAACTGCCAATGTGGACACATGGTAAGGAAGTGAGAACGGTCCCTGGCCAACGGCTAGCAAGAAAACTTCAGTCATACGGCCACAAGGAAATTAATTCTGCCAACAAGTGGTGAGCGTGGAAGACCTTGAGCCTCAGATGAGAACTGCAGCTACTGCTCGCATCTTGATTTCAAACTGGTTGAGATGCTAAACTGAAAACCTGGCTACAAAGTATCCAGATTTCTGACCTATAGAAACTGAGAATGGGTGTTGTTTAAGCTGCTAAATCTGAAAAGAAAAAAAAGGGGGGGAAGAGACTTTTTGTTTGTTTGAAACAAATTTATTCTCAGAATAATCCACAAAAGCACAAATTGAGACTACCATCTTTTCCCCCAGAGTGCATGTCTCCTCAAAGCACTGATTATAAAGATACACAAATCCAAAATCACGGGACAAGGATTAAAACTCTATGAAAATGCATAAAAATTTTCAATTTTAGAAATTAAAAGGGGATTTTTTCACATATCTGTTAAATATCATATCGTTTATTATCTTCATTTTAGTGATAAGCAAAGTTAAGGCTCAAGAATGACATCCCAAAGATCACAAACCTAAGAAATTTTGTAACTTCAGTGCCCGCCTCTACACCAACACCAACAGTCTCCTTGAAGCATTAAGAACCATTCAAATCAACAGTAATTGTATTACTGTTTTCAAAGAAAGTAATCCTAGTAATATAATTTTCCAAATTTCACATCTATTTAAACATTCCTTAGCTTTGTCAGAACATCAAAACTAAAAAGGATAGAGAAATTTTCATCCAACAGTTGTAAAAATGACCATTGGTAGACCACTTGAGTAAATTCAAAGTACATTTCAAGAATGAAAAGTAAAAAAAATTAGCAAAACATCTGTAGGTTTTCTAGAACTTAATGAATTTAGCAAACTATTTGTGTTGTAAGTATTCTCAAAAATCAAAAGCTTAAAGTAAGCAATGTTATGGACCTTTCAATATTACACCCCTTGGACAAATTTTTTGAGTCTTAACTCTTCATATGTTATAAACATGAGAACGTGGTACAATATATCATTCAATAAACACGTCGTTTTTATTTTCACTTATGTATATTTCCCTAAGTGCTTCACCACAGAATTTGCAATTTTCTTAATAACACACACAGAAAACTAACGGGTGGAGTTATATTCAAATTCCACGTTACAAATCAGATAACTTTACGCCAATTCAAATACTTTAACACTGACTTTTTCTTTGCTAAGGTGCAAAATATAGCCCTTTGTAGTCACAACCACGAGAAATAATAAACTGTATCATCTTAGCACCAACGTTAACAGCAAATAATTCACTATAAACACACGCAAACAGCATCACATACAAACAGCATTGTTTTGAGTCCATAAGCTTCCAAACGCATCCATGACTTACACGCCTGGGGCACGATTCTCTGCAATGTGAAGAGAATCGATAACATTTCAAATGTGGGTAGAAGGGGTGACGTGACAATCTTAAAACCTGAAAATTTCTCAGTCCCCACAATACACAAGAAGCACCCAGTTTGGACCCTCCAATCGAGGCTCAGGTCCAACTCTAGGCACTCCAGTTTCCCAGCTTTTCACCCCGCCCCCACCCCGAGAAAGGAGGGAAAACAACTTTTATTGGTCTCATTTCCCGGGGGACTGGCAAACTAGCGGGGCAGGGCTCGGGCCTGGACACGTTTCACAAGGAGGCCTCCGTCGGGGGCGGAGAGCGCAGATAGCGGGAAGCCAAGGTTCGACGCCCCCTTTCCCCATCGCCAGCCCCCGCCCCACCCCACCAAGAAGCAGCCTGGGCCGGCCGCCACGCTGAGCGACCCCCAGGCCCCTCCGCTGAGGCGAGCTCGTTGTCATGTGACAACGCTGCCGCTAAAACACCGCAGAAACGCAGGGCGGCGGAAGGCGTTCGCACCAGTCCGCCTCGGCCCGGCCCCACCGGGCGCAAGCGAGTCCCGAGAGTCCGGGCGGGGGGACG